TGCGAGCCTGGCCTAGACTGAGTCATTGGTCCGCGTCCGCTAACGCTCACAGGCAAGAGTGCGGCCAGGATATAGGAGAGGCAGCGGACCACAAGCTGTCTCTTATACACATCTAGATGTGTATAAGAGCTCTCTCTCTCTCTCTCTCTCTCTTTTTCTCTCTCTCACACACACACATCTCTGCACGTGTCCTCTGCACGTGTGTCACTTTGGTATCGGAGTGGAGTCTCAAACCTCTGCTCCCTCCCTCAGGCTCCCTCTATCTCCTGCTATCCCACCATCCCAGATAGCTATCTCCAAGCTTGTATCTGCAGCTGCACCTGGTCCATTGACGCAAATAGATACGTTCGTCGTCCAAGCTGGTGCCTTTCTTCTCCGTATTCTCGACGCCGGCGCAATTTCAGCTGTTGTTGCTCTCCGACAGGCTGTCCATCATTCCTATCCGCCGAAGTGCCCGGAATGCGGTGCTCTAGGCAATCTAATGTTGATAGTGCTGTGAGCATTTTATCGAACCTTATCATTTTGAGGAAGGAGAAGATGCACCAAGGTTTCTGTAGGCCAACTTGCGGAATGATCACTGACCCCCTCCCACCTCTTCCCCCCCCGACTTCCCCACCTCCTCCCTCTCTGCCACCACCCCTCCTGTGCTCCCCGACTTCCTCCTGCGCCCCCCACTCCCAGACACCCCCTCTCGCCCGCTATTCCGCAGCTCCTCCCACTGCGCACTTGCCCACCTACCCTGTGTGGCCCTAATTCCCTTCCCCCCCCCGATCTCCCCCGACTGCGCTTCCCGAGGCGCAACTTTTCCCCTCGATCTCCGTTGCCCCTTCCCTCGCGTCAATTTCAAACAATCTTCAACCCTCTTTTCAAATTTCTTTTCATCCTTCCCTCGCGGAACTTCTTCGATATTGATTCCGACCTTCGTCAACTCCGATCCCAACAACCCCTGCCCAATTGTGCTTTCCTCCGCTCCCACTTGTGCGCCTCCCCATGGTCACGCCCAACCCCCTGTCACGTTATACCATCTCCACCCCAGTCCCAACCGCGATCCCGTCCCCCTCCCCCTCCCGCCTGGTTTCCTATCTGCCCCCCACC